GACCATCATAGTTAGGCCGGTGTCAGCTCGACATTTTTCGACTATTTCCAGCATTCTAAAAAGCGTAAAACCTTTAATCGAAGGGCCCTCACACTGTCAAGTTTAAGCGTTATCATCTAAATTTCTATGCAAAATAACAAAATTGGTAAAAACTAATAAAATGTTTGTGATATTATGATGAACAATTTATCTTTTGACAACTTTCTCATAACTTTAACGGGAACACAGATAAATTGGCTCAAAGTTCAAAGTTAGGGAGCATTCTGTTACAGGTGTTACGGTAATTTCACAGTCAACAGCATATATTTCCGTACCTAATTTTTTGATCATTCACAACTTGAGAAATTGATTCTTCGTTATTGAATCTTTGCTCTTTTCTAACCTCTCCCATTCTTCCTATTTTAGCATCCAACGCCTCCACCATCTGTCATCATCATCCTCACGATTTTACTCTCCTTGACTGAACCAGTTCATGTAATTTAAAATCGTGTCGAGAGATGTCTCATTTTTTCCCCTCTCACACAGAAAATTGAAAAGAGAGCAATTCTTGTTCGGTTCGAGTGTGTACCCCCCTCTAATCCTACGCCTTCTCATCGTTACCCCATTCAAGAAGAGATGCCTCCCACTTCATTTCTTCTTCCGTCTTTTCCTTTGATTCTCTGAGATTCCTCTGAAATTCTGAAAATTCTGAAACCATATTCATTATGGATCAATTCACACTGGGGCCACTGATAGCCCAACAACGACGTCGTGGAAAACGAAAAAGTTTAACGGTTACGGTAAGTTTTTTTTTAGCAATAATGGCCATTATTTTTATTTGATTTGACCTGATTAGATTTGCCATTTCTGTCATGGCTTCTTTGTTTCTAAGGCTCCAGTGGAACAACACAAGTAGATCAGAAAATCAGGTTTTTTTTTCTGTGTTCCAACTTTTAAAGTATGAGTTTGTGTATGTAGTTTCCTATTCGAAAATCTAAGTATATTGAAAAGTCACAAATTCCGTTAAAACCCAATTTACATAAAACAGCAATACATATCAGCAAGCGCAGCTGAAAGAATCCCGTGTTTTTTTGGAAACTCACCAACAACCAAAACGTCACTAAAACATTTGAAAGTTCATAATCAGAAACTAGGGTATAGGGTAGAAAAAGAAGACCAAGAAGCACCTGCTTCCGATTTTTGTTGAATGAGAACATAATGAACTTGAAGAGAGCAATAAGGAAGTGTTTATGCAGTTGATAACATTTAAGTTGTCTGAATAAACGTATTTAGTTTACTCAGGTGTCTAGAAACTAATTTTCGTCTGATTGCAAATAATATGATTCTGATTCAAAGTTTCGAATTCAATAAAGCTGGCGACGTTCAATTTGGAAATTTTTCGCAATTTCAAAAACTTTTCAAATGTTGAAAATACCCACCGGATCGGGCACAGATTTTTCGAGTATGCAAAAAACTAGTATTACGTAAATAGTAAGTTAAAATGTAATGGAATGACATCAAAACACTCAAAAAAGATATTTTGGATTAAAATTCCAATTCAACAATGGGATCATTTCCTTCCGTTCGACCTTTTGATCAGCTCAAATTGAAAAATGGATTTCATCTTTTGACACTCGAGGCTTCGTGTCAGATTCGATTGAGTTGTAAAATTTTGGGTTTGAACTTCAAAAGTATTCCGCTCAATTTTTTTTTAAAACTCTATTTGAAGGCCTTTCAACTTTAAACTTTGAATCAACTTGTCTCGGTTCCTGTTAAAAATACAAAGGAGTTGTCAGGTCCCTTCTATTACAGGTTTCACGACGAAGGGAGTTGGAAAGTGTAGTAGGTTTTTCCAGTGGAGTTCTTCCGCAGCGGAACACATTCTTTGAGCGGATGTTGGCGACAAGTAGTTGATAATTATGGCGAATAGCGTTTAGATTAATATTGCCTACTTCCTTTTTTATAATAAATTTAATTGATCATAAAAACGCGCATTATTTTTTAGCCAACCTAATATCACAATATTTTATGATTTCTGCTGATTGTAGATCAACCACTTGAACCTCAAATTATCCACCACGCACTCCTCATTCTGACCCATAAACCACAGAAACAAAATAAGAGCACGAGTTCTTTCTATTTCGAGCTCTCAATTCTAGGTACGCACGTACAATCCAGTGCCAAATTCACTTTTCTGGAAACCGGATACATTTCAAATACTTCAAACCAGTCAGTGTCCTAAACGTGCCTCCTACTCTTATGCATGTTATCCTAGATCCATCCAGGTCACCCTCCCTCTCAATCCACCTCGATTAGTTTCACTTCCCATTTTGAAGCTCCATCTCACTCGCTTCAGGTAGAGCTAGAGACAACTACGTCACATAAAATGGTGAGTCCGATCCGTCATTTTGACACTAAAATTGGTGCTTTTCTCCCCTTCTTCTTCTTCCTCTCCGTTCGTCTATACCGGACGTTTCGACTGAATCGGAAGTAAAAAAATGAATGAGAGCACAATTGAATACCTGTCTAGAAGAGAAATTCAAGAAATCGTGACGAGAGACTTCGCGATGACGAAGCCCTATGAAATGTAGTTGCATGAAGTACGAAGAATATAGAATCCGGAATAGAACTACAATATTGCGTTTGCTATTTCTCTCTTTTCCAAAAATAGAAGAAAGGTGCAAAGCGTCGATATATCCCTGGTTAAGAGCCCTGATTCCAAAAATGTTTATTCCCCCTTTTTTTTCGTTTTGTTTAGCTACAGTTTCCAAGGAGAACCAAATCTCCCTTTTTTGGGTTTTTTTGCGTCAGAGCCTCTGCATCAGAGGTGATGTGAATTTTGCAGAAATGAAATATGTCTTGACGTAGATCTTTGATTGCTCGACAATATTTTTATATTTCGAAATTACCTATTTTTGGAACTGAGCTATCAACAGAGATGACGATGTTATTTACAGACAACAAAATTAAAAATTACAGAAGCCATACAATAGGAAATAATATAGGCCAAGTCTTTTGTTTTTCAAGAATCGGCAACCTTACCGTTTCCAAGGAATGCCTAGAATTTCCTTTGAAAAGTGCTTACTGGGTGGCGCATATTTTCCCGGCACTCAAGTTTGTATAAAATTTGCTCAAAGCGTTGTACAGGGCTCAAATTTTGAGTGCAAACATTTTAATCGTTTGTCAAAAAACTGACCAAGTTTCAAATTATCTGAGCAACTTTGAGCTGAGTTATCGCTTGTCAAAGTTGCTTCACCTCATGAAAATCACAAGAAACATTACGCCGTTCATCTTTGGACAATCATAACAATACCTAGACTTAAAGAATTGCTTTGAAAATTTCAGTAGCTGTGAATCAAATGTAAAGTTAGATTTCTACCGATTTTCGTGCTTCCAAAATACATATCTCTAAAGATAGGCCTGTTTTTATCAGTCTGGTTAATTGTGCGCTACCCTGTAGGTTAGAATGATCAGCAATTATTATCGGAAATAAAATTACGGAAAAGTATGCAATGTTCGAACTATATTGAATCTCGGGTTTCTTTTCCTTTTTAATTCTAACCTCAAAATTAAGTCTGCAACTCGAAATAAGTCATTTTCAATTCAAAAGTACTTGAAGTTCGCTTGTCCTATTCATTTCCCATAATCTGATGATTTTTTTTTTTAATCTTGAGAAAGTATAAAGTGAGCATTAAGCATATAAATTCTTAAGATTTTTTATCAATTCAGAATAATTTTTATTGTTTTTCGAAACGTTCCATATTTATTTATTTTTTTTCTCACAACCAAGCATTTTTCTTCAAATAAAGTCTAGCAATCTTCTGGAACAAGAATCGGGACCCAATGAATAAAATATGTTCTTCAATTCTCTGGTTTTTCCAAGAAATACCCATTTCATATTTAGCAAGCATACAGTAGTTTTTATTTTGTTCTTTATCAAATCTCGGTGTATACAATCAAGTTGAATCTGAATTAGTCATGGCGCGGTTCCATTGTTTTTCCCAGAGCACAAAAATTCTCTTCAAAAAAAGTTTTTTGTATGGCATTTCCCCATCCGCGTACAATTTTTAATGAATCATTTGGAAACTACGGTATGTATGTCACTCGAGGATCACACCTATTCCAGCTTACGTCAAATCAAAATCAATTGAACCCAACTTTTAACATTTTCTGAAATTCGTGACGCATTCTCTCTTTTATTATGACATGTATATTTTCCGATTGTCGAGAAAATCCGACAGTAAAACTTAAATTCTTAGCATTCCGAAATCCAGTCATAAGTCAGTGGAAGAGGCGGGAAAGAGAAAGTGTCAGGTGTAAAGATTAGAGAATGATATTTTTGGGATTTAAAATCGCAAAGATAAGAATAATCTGAGAGCTCGCACATCTGTCATGCTGTCTTTTTTTTCCTGCTCAGATTTTCTTCTAACCAAAGTTTTTCTGTTCTTTCTATTACTCCGATGTGGTTACCTTTGAACTAGTCTTTGAAATGTTCATGTAGATATAACACCTTTCTAATCATATCAAAGTTTTCTCTACTGCTTTCTTTCTCCCGTTTGCTCACTTATCCAGTCGCCTCGATATCCACCCCCGTCTCTTGTTCACTTTTCCTCCCAAATTTGCTTTTGGAATAGAGAAGGCGTGTCTCACTCTTTTTCACTTTCACACCAACCACAATATTGCGCGAGAGAGTGGAGAGACGGAGAGTCGAAGAGAGCACCTGCTCCGGGCGTATGCACCTCCATTATATTATCAGCCGCACCACACAGAGCTCTGAATCTCGATCCTGGCCCCTTCTTGCTCCGGCATCTAAATTTATTCCCTTCTTCGTCTTCTAGGAGCCATCTCCACCTTCGGCTCGTTAACGACAGATTATCCCTTTCACCCCTCTCTTTCCCTCTCAAGTCGTCTTATATTCCGACGGATTACTGTAGGCACTCTGGCGGAGCAACATCTCCTCCCCCCATCGCTCTCTTAGTATTTGCACATAGGGAGAATCCACACAGACTGAGCATTTGTAGATGGCTATTACTGAAACTGTCATGCACAAGTTACAGTTCGCTCGTGGCATCGGTCAACGGGAGATGCTCCGCGCCAACACACTGCCGTCGATCACTCGGGCAAAGGTGAGTCTTGGGGCTTTCAAATAGAACCTGTAATAGAAGCCCCCCCCCCCCCCCCCCCACACTGTCAAGTTTCGAATGATTTTTTTTTAGATAGTTATCAAAAGTGTTTGTGATATTATGATAAACACTTTATCAGTTGAAAATTTTTTGGTATCTTTGACAGGAACCGAGTTAGGGGGCTCTTGTATTACAGGTTTTACGGTATCTCCTTGTGAACGCTTGCTTTTTATTTCCGGTTTCTTAGACTTTAGCTACTAAGTACATTCAAATTTTTCCCACGAAAATATCAGTGATCGCAGACAGAAAGAAGTTTGAAAAAATTGACATCATCTGAATATTTTTCCAGGTCGGTTGCTTTGCAAGACTGCGAATCTACGAAGAGAATGCTCGTTTCGTACTAATTTGCCTAATTTTGATTGTATATCTTGCATTCGGAGCAGCGCTTTTTCATTGGCTCGAGTGGGACAACGAAGTGGATGAACGGGAAACGGTAAGAAGACCCTCCTGGCAATTCTCAGAAGTTATTGAGCACTTCTCATCACGCAACCGTTTCCTTTTTTGCTCCTTTTTCCATTGCGACTGCGAGCTTAATTTTGTTTGTAGACTTGTTTTTCTTCTTTTTTCGAATTGCGCTGAAGAGCTATGAATATGGTGATATGTGTTGACAGAGAAATAGAAGATTAGGAAGCTAGCTATGAGGGAGTGATAATCCGATGTCGATGGTTTTTTCTTCTTCTTTTGCCTCAGAAAAATTTTTCTATTGTGAGATGATATTTTTCTGAGCAAAGAAGAAGGGGCTCTTCCCGATTTCCCCAACAATCCAATCAAGTCTTTTTTAGCTTCTAATTTGCATCACTAATAAATAAAGAAGTCTAGATAAAAGGAGCATGATTGGAAAATAGAGGGAATAAAACGAAAGAAACATTTGTTCGGCTGCTCTCTTCATTTACTGATTCTGTGTTGAGCTGGATGAGGAGAAGAAGCAGAAAAGGGGAAAAGTATAAATTTCAAATGTGATATGTCGTACGCAATAAGAATGCGTCTTTCTATTACTTCGTTGTGTGTTATGCACTGAGAATATGAGATCAAGTTATTCTTTCTTGCAAGGGAACTTGATCAAAATGGAGTGATGATTTTGTATCAATATTGAAAAATGTGTTTCATATATATTTTTTTCAAAATCTTTTTTGATTGCATTTTGTCACTAGGGGAGTACAAATACTCACAGGATATGAGTCATTTTGGAAAAACATTTGAAAGAGATTTTAAACGAAAATACTCCCGTTGGGATGAGTGATTAAGAAAAAAAAATTTAGAAAGAAAATAATATTGAGGTGATTATTCTGTGAAAATTGATATTTTCGTTTCTGATTTGGAAGAAGGAAGAAATGAAGAGGAATAATAAGGAAGTAGAATTTTTAATTCAGAAACTTGATCCTCGGAAAATTATACTGTACTAAATCGGGAAAACAAATCAGGAATCAGATTTTGTGTGCGAAAATTGCGACACCAATGTTCATAGTAAATTTTACTCACAAGGGAACCCTCCATATGTTACCCGGGGATTCAGATGAAACCTATGCTAGATAGTGGTACACAGTCTAGCTAGAACAACCCCAGAATTATAGCTGCCGTCGTGAAGGTCTATTCAAATGGCGAGGCAATTTATGATTTTTCGTGAGTTCGGAGTCGGTACCCTTCGGGAAACCATAAATTTGTTCATTTTCATGGCAGACAGTCAAACTTTTTTATTTAAAAGGTGATAAACTGACAAGCATTTATCTCAATTGCACCTATGCTCCATTATCAATAGGAAAGTCAGGAAAATAGAAAATATGAAAACTTAGAGTTCCACAGAAATCAATAAATGCCAATTTTTGAAAAAACGTATTCGGGGGATCATGTCTATCAGCTTTCTCAGGACGAGTAACGTTCAAATATAGGTCGAGTCCTTGAGTTACGAGACTTATTTCAATTTTTTCAAAAACAAAGTTACAATTCATGAACCCCTATACATGAAAATTTTCGAAAATTTTTTAAACTTTCGATTGCTTCCCTTTCCAGATTCTGAACTCTCTTTTGTTGTTTCTCTTCATTTTCATT